ATGGAGAAGAGGGATGAGGGAGGATACGGCGGAAGAGGGAATTACACATATAGTTGTAATCATGTACACGGTACAAGACATCGATTAATGCCGTCTTAAGTCCAAAAAGACGGTGGAAGCGGGAAGCGGGTGCTTCCCGGCTCCTGCCATCCCGCACCCCTACCCCCACCCCTGGATCCTCGCCTTGCCTTCCGCCTGGACGAGCTTGGGTCGGGAGGCACGACACGAACCGCAACGTGTGCGTTCTCCCTTCCCCACCTTTTTCCCCCACCCCACACACCTGAACCCCCAGTTCGTAGTAGTAGTCGCCAAGCCCCAGAGTGGAGGCCCACAAACTCTAAGGGAGGAAGGGGGGGTTAGGCGTGACGTGATGTGGTGGTGTGAGGGGGGGAGAAAGGGGGGGAAGGGTTAACGGCGGGTAGGCGTGCGGCTGGCAGGGAGGACTCCCCTCCTCTCCCCACCTCTCCCCACCTCTCCCCACCTCTCCCTCCTCTCCCCTCCTCTCCCCACCTCTCCCCACCTCTCACCCCTTTCCCCACGGAAAGCGTGATGTTAACTTTCCCACTCAGGGACCTTTTAATAATACTACTTCCATGCAATGCAGGAGGGTTCTGTCCAAATGTGTTGCCTTTCAGACCCTCCCTCGCCTCCTTACAACTCATCCTCCAACACCGCGGCCCCCCTTACAGCCGCCCGCTGCACCCAACCTTGTTGGACGCCAGCGGGTCCACTCCGATGTTGGCACACATTGTGTGGAACTGCGCCCGGAACACGGGGTCGCGTCGGATATCGGCGCGGTGCTTCCGAGCAAACTCCTCCAAGTTGGTGCGGAAGGCGGCCAGCTGCTCGTGCATGGCCTGAGGGGGACTTGAAGGGTCGAAGACGATGTTGTGTTGCGTGTGTTGTGTTGTGTTGTGTGTTGTGTTGTGTTGAGTGGCATGAAACGGGTTAGGGGGAGAACCAAAAATGGGAGAAGATCAGAAATGAGCTGCCAGCGTCCTTAAAGTGTGTAAAGGAGCGGCGGACAGTTGAAGGATTAAACGAGGTGAGTGAACTTGTGGGCCCAGCTGGGTGGGCTGGGTGGCGGGTTCAATGCGGGCGGAAGGGGAAGGAACCACAGCATCCCGACTTGCGCAACCACCACCACTAGCGACATGGCCACCACCATGGGAACTGCTGCCCGTATGGCGCCCCAGTGACATAGCAACCTCCATCTGCACAATCATTACAGGCGCCACCACAAGCGCCACCACCGCAATCACTACTACTCAAATAAGTTTTAAATTTAAATGCCCTACCCTGCTAGTGAGGCAGTCTCGTAGGATACACCCTCCATTAGGCAACCATCTACCACAACTACCTCCCACAACTACCACCATCTCCCACAACTACCACCAGCACCAGCACCTGCAACGTGTTCTTCTTGACCTCCTCCCCCGTCAGTTTAAATTGCTCCTGGAAGCGGGGAGGGTGGGTGGGGAATATGCGGGTGGAAGCGAAAAGGAAGAAGAAGGGCGGAGAGAGAGTGAGAGAGAGAAGAGTACGGAGGTGGAAGATGCACGTGACGCCAGGTTCAAGAAGGCGTGCCGTTGCCAACTGGAATGCGGTAAGAAGGTGGAGGCGGCAGTCACAGCATCACAGCTGTATCCATGAGGCCGTCGCGCAGCACATCCGTGCAGCGAGTTAACGGGCACAGTGGGGGAAAGAGGTTGGGTTGCCATCGGGTCGGGGGGAGATCGCTGCAATCGGCGAGGAGCATGCTCTGGTCCATGAATGGACGGGGTCCATTCCACAGCGGCCGTAAGGGAACGTACCTTTGTCCGGGCTGCCTGCTGCAGCCCGGCGATGCCTGGCCCACGCCGCATCGCAAACGGAAAAGATTCTCAGCGTCCCACCAAGCTCCAAAAATCCATTAAATTTAAAATACGCGACAAAGGGTTCATGGTCTCCTAGTAGAAGGTGGTGACACTTGTACTGAGTTGCATGGCCAGAAGGTCTGTCCCAGAATGTCACATATTTATTACACACAGAGCCGAAATACACTTGAGTGTACTGCAAGGGGCAAAATAAAAGGTCCTGCTTCGGGAAAGCTGAAACCCTGGACGGTTCCGGAGCATGGAAAATTTCCCGTATTTTGAATACCTGGTACGCATCGCATCGCCGATGTTTTCAGACTCAGTTATTTCATTTACATTTTTTTACAATCACTAACAACGTCTTTGGTGTTTGGTCATCGGTTCAACGCAACTAGTATCCATACTCCGACACCCCACAGCAGCAAACCGGCGAGGGTATTTCTCCTCGCCGCACCATCATGGCCGATCCTGAGGCTGAGGTGGAGTTTAAGAATGAGAGCGACTGCCTTATTCTCGAGCCGGACAGCTCCGGAGGCTCAATAACCAAGGCAAGCTCAGTTTTTGGACTGTGCCATGGTCAATTGGCATAATGTTGGTTAGTGTAGGAGTAACGCTGCATTGGGCATACATGTCGGGGACCTATGCGCATAGCGCATGTCGTTCCGGTACGCCGAAGGTACATGCCCTCCCGGATTTTGGCTCGGGCATTAGTTATCCATCTAAGCGGGATAAGTTAGTTAGTACAGCAGCGGTGCGTTAGCTTTCATGCGTCGTCGCGATGTACCGGAACCTGCTGACGTCGATCTGCTGAAGAACTATGTGGCATCGAAGTTACGGAGCCTTTGCCATGCTCGGAAACAACTTGACAAAATTTTTCAATTCTCTGGGTCCCCTTACTGCTTTGCCTTCTGCTGCAGGTAACCTTCACACGCAGTGTGCCTGATGTGCACGCACGCGTTGCTGAATTGCTCAACTTACCAGAGACCGAGCGTGTCCGTTGCTTCCATTTGTAAGTCACACGGCAAGCAGCCTCGACCGCTCTGTACTAGGGCAACTCGTCGTCCGCAATTCCTATTCCTCCCCACCTGTTGACTTTTTTCATGATCTCTTCCTCCCTAATCCACCAGGCCCATGTTTGAAAAGGTCCTGGGCTGGAGTGTGCACATGTATCTCGACTTAGACGCCGTCCAGGTAAGGACTCCTATTATTTACAGGCACTACGTACGCCGTACCCATCCCGGTCAGAGTATCCAAACCATTGCCGTCAAGACAATTTGCCATGCCCCATGTAAAATCCCTGGCAACGGTCCGACTCTGCGCGACCACGTGCGCCACGTTAATTAACCGCAGAACGGAATGCAGCACAACACCAACGCGACGCAACTGTGGCTCATTGCCAACCTGCCAAGTAAGTCGTTGTCGCTTTCGTTGCTCTTGGCTTTTTGGCTCCCACCTTGGCCATCTGGGACCATTTGGGTCTCGTTGCTCGAAATTGAACATTGCGGTAGGATGGGGGCCCAGGCAGGAAGGAATATGTGAGGAAGGAATCAGGGGGGTTGCACATGCACGCGAGCGCAGAGACCGCACGGCGGCGGCTGGCCTAGGGCATATGTGAGTCAATGCATCCACCAATGGCATATTCATACGAATGAATGTGCAAGCGGCGTGAAAAGCATGTCGGGCATCTGGGTCGGTCCTGCTAGACAATAATATACAGTGGGCAAGACGCGGCGTGGCGACATATGAGGCGTGTCTCCATAGTCCATTGAGGCCATTAGGGTCTATATGTTTAGGCTTGGTTGGGTGTCTGCATGTTTTGCATAGTCCCATCACTATGTATGTATGTATGTATGTATGTATGTATGTATGTATGTATGTATGTATGTATGTATGTATGTATGTATGTATGTATGTATGTATGTATGTATGTTTATCCGTCAGTCCACGTGTTATTGTTTACCCGCCGCCCGCTGCAGACGAGCCCCCGGAGGTGCAGCCCGACAGCATTCACGGCCCGGTGCTGCTGACCGCGGAAAACTTCAAGGATGAGGAGTACGTGCAGGTGGGCCGGGTGTAATGAAACCGGAACAGTGTAGAGCTGGTGTGAGGTTTTCAGCGCTGGGGGTTGCTTGGAGGGCGGGTTGGGGCGCTTGGTTCCGTTGGCATTTGGGCAAGCATGTGTGCGTGTATGTGTGTGTGTGTGTCTCTGTGCGATTGTGTGTATTACATATCGATCCGGGCCACTGACACTGGCCAGGGGCTTATTTAACCCCAACATAACCCAACGGGAACGACCGCCGAAGCTCTCTCTCTCTGTGTGCGTGTGTTGTGTGTACCTTTCCAAAGCTCTGGTCCACTGTACGGCCTTTTCCGTTACGAACACGAAAGGTAATTTCACCGTAATAGCCACATGCACCCGCCCGCCGCCGCTTGCACACTTTTACCCGCCGCCGCCCTGTATAGCTGAGCCAAGAAGAGTGGCAAAAGATAGTGGACAAGTGCAAGGAGGTGCAGCCCAATGCGCAGTTCCTGCCGGCTGAGCACGTGGCTACACCACCAGGCATGTCGGAGCCCGAGCAGGAGCAGAAGGCCGAATAGGTCGCGTCCGCCCGCACGACACGACACGACACGATGAGCGAAGCGCGGCACGTAGAGCTGCGTGGAAAGAGCTGCGTCCGGTCGACACAAGTGCTGGATGCTTAGTGGAGGCCGGAAAACGGGTCAGCATTTCCCATCTACTGTTTTCTGTCCTTGAGCCGCTGCTTGGCCCTGCGTATTGTCGGACAAGGGAGTGACTACCGGGAGCACAGGAGCCTGTCAGGAGGGCTTGAAGCGCGGGGGGCGCCGCGACCGGATGATGGTGGTGGAGGGGGAGGTATTGTGGCGGGAGCGGCGTGCTTGTTCAGGACAGCGTGTCGTTGGTACCTTGGGGTCTCGCACTGTCGTCGCCGTACTCTCCGTAAGCACCCATGCATGCATGATACTACGCAAAGCCATGCTGCTGCTGAAGGGCCCTGTGCTGCACAGTTTTGAGTGATGGGCACGGCACGGCCGTGAACTCCGCTGCCGCCGCGCTCAGCGACGAATGCGCTGCGGCTGTTGTGGATACGGATACGGACGATGCGGCGGTTTTTACGGTTAACGTTTAACGACTCTACCAGTCCAAGAACCCCGGCCAAGACTCTCTGCGTTTTAGCTTGGTACTGATCGTGTCATATGTCATGTCCTGTAGTGTTGTGTCGCCGCATTTACAACATAGCATGTAACTGTACTATTATCTAACGACGCAAATCCAGAAGATGTATGTTGGCGAGGTTGATTTGGCTGATGCGGTTATATGCACTGGAGGGTGGGGGATGGTGACACCGCCTGGTCCGCCCACTTGTGGCCAACTCGCGTTAATTTTGTGCGCTTTTGTAAATAGTGTCTTTTAGCGCATGGAGACGACATGTCACGCCAAAACATCTGAAGCGTACAAAGTATGTGCCACGACCGTTATTTGTGCGCGCTTTTGTAAATAGTGTCTTTTAGCGCATGGAGATGACAGGCTATAAGTGTGTATGGATGTCTCTTTTCCATCATCAAGGCGTATTGACCGTTGTGGGTGTGTTTATCTGTCCGTGAGACACTTGCAAATGCGTCTCCTGCAAATGTCAAAACATATGTGCCGGGATGGGATGGAGTTTGGTGGGAGGAGCGACAAACACCAACACCACATATGGATACATTAAGGGCCAAAAGTGATGTGAATTGGGAGCCTTCTTAGCGTCTGTATATGTGTGTGTGTGTGTGTGTGTGTACGGTTCAATCAAATTCCGACGGCACGCGCACTTATCGTAGAGCCTTTAGCGCTTCGACATTCCTTTCCCGGCTCATTCGATCCAATCCAAAGTGTGGACATGCTACGGTTCTGTAGGGTTGGGAGGGCGGGTGGGTGACGCCAGCGGAAAATGACTTAGGCAGACAGAGTTATAACCATGCTTATAACCAACTAACCGAATTGAAAGTACGATAACGGTACCGTCCAGCTATCTCGGTCTGCTAAACCAGGTTACGGCTGTTACAGTGCGGTAACAGCATTGCTTGTTGCCCTCCTTACAGCCAGCTCGCCCAGCCACAGGATAACGAACCAACCGAGGAGATAGCAATACTGCGCGTCTCCACTAGTCCCTCTCCCTACGCGTCCACGAGATCGCGTGCACTGCAGCGGAGGCCATCATAGGACACCATGCGCCAAACGATAGCAACAGCACGTTGTGCCACAACCGCCCTAGACCCCCTCTGCGTCTAGACCCAGCTGGCGGCGGAGGCAACGGCGGCCGTTACCTGCGACACAATCACCACTACTACACAATCACTGCGACACTGACACCACTATCATCACCACCAGCAGATGGTTCTCGACGTCGGGGCTTCGCCGGGCTGCCTTTCTCTTCAACCCTCCAAGAACTCACCTTAAGGTGACACACACGCATGCACGCATACACACGCACGAAGGCGATGCTCTCGTCCAACATGAGATAGCGGGCTCGAAGCCCATGCCGGCCTAGCTACCGCACTGCCACACCCGCATGCCCGGGGGCCCGCAGGGACCCGCACACCCGTCATCCGCACTCGCCACGTGAGAGGGGTTTTGCTTGTGACACCTCTCTCTCTCTCTTTCTCTCTCTCGCGCGCGCGTGACACCACCCTAGTTGGATGGATTTTTCTCCAGCCAAGAAGTCCTCCATCCCAATCCCCCTTTCCAAATGGCTCTTGGAAATGGCGCCCCCTCAGGATGGAAGGCGAAGGGGAGAGAAGCAAATTGAGCTTGTTCCTGCACATTGATTTAGTTAAGTTTGTTGGTGAGTATGGACACGAAATGGCAAATTGCATTGGCTTTCTGCCTCGCAACATACAAGAAAACAAATGCCAGATACCAGGACGTGCATATCCCTATTATGCACAGCATTAACGTAAGCGTAATGTACCTTTAAGAAACTACCGAGACACACACAAGTACATACATACATGCAAACTCCCTCAAAACCAGATCTCCTGCTCTGCTCGGCGTCATTTCATTTTGCGATATCGGGACAGATAACTTTGTGCGAGATGAGTTTTTTGTTCAAATCTCGTCATAGTTCAACATCGACAACAACAACATCAACAACGCAAAACAACAAAAACAGTCCGCATGCCTGACGTACGGCTCTGGCCCGCATTGGCAGTTGTCAGGACGCACCACGCAAAATGGCACTCGATGAAACTCTATTTCCACCCCGCGTGCCATCGTTGTTTCGCCGACCGTTCTCCGAAACCGTGCATCTGAGTTGCCAAGCGTGAATCTGGTTTTCACCCCCACCCTAGTCATGGAAAAATGGTCCCGTGCTGAGTTGCAGCACATATGGGCCCAGAGCCCGGGACCACCGGACTGCGGCGCCGCTGCTATGCGGCTAATAGAGTACAACTGGCCCTCGGATGCGCCTCTCGGGTACAGGGGGAGGCGGCAGCGTATTAGCACCGCCGAGCACGCCATCCACTTCCACCGTATGTGCAATGTCTAGGCTCTTCCACAGGTTCGCCAAAACATATCCCCCTCCCAAGCGCACCCACATACACATGGCAGGCGGCTGGCAGAGGTTAAGGCCTGACTTCTGCTCCCAGTCGACCCAGTCGACCCGGGTTCAAATCCGCCTGCCGGCTCCTCGGGTGTTTGAGGAGTGATGAAATGGGAGGTGGCCCCCCATCTTATGGACGGTGTAGGACGTGATAATATCAACTTGCGAGCTGACCAGGAACTAAGTTGATGCGCCGTTGATCCGCTAGATTTGGTTGGATGCTGGTGGTGAGTTGCCGAACCCAACGAATACATTCTGAAGTCGGATGGGGTGACGGATTAGGGTGCCCCTCTAGCAGGGGAGAGCAGGGACTGCCCCGGGAAAGGGGGCCGCTGGCGAAGTTGACCACCCTGTAACAACATACATACACATAACAGCAAACGAAACACGTGTGAATACCAACCTGAAATAGCACTATTAGCTGTGCGGCGCGAGTGGCTAGCCTTCGCATATACAGCAAACAATGTGGCTAGTAGCTGGCATGTACCGGATGCGGAACACAGTGGCCAGAGTACATGCAAAAATGCACACACACATATATACGTACATACATACGTACATACATACAGATAGACGCCCGTATGTTGCTCGACCGCATGCGGGGCGGAATGTAGCACAGCGGGGCGAGGTGAAGAGAACGGCCACACTCATGAGACAGCGCGCAACGAACCCTGACGTCGTCTCACGCTGAAGCAGGGCCTCCCGCATGTGTGTATGATGTGTGAAACAGGGGGGTGTATCTTCGCCCGTGGTGGCAGCTACCCGGCGAAACCCTGCCCTCCCCGGTATTTCGGGGCACCCTCATCCAGTCACCCTAGTCAACTTCTCAGTGGATCGCTCAGGTTCCGCACCCGCCACCAGCATCCAACGGAATCTGCCGGGTCGACAGCGGCCCAACTCTGTTCCTGGTCGGCTCGCAGGTTAACCTTATCCCAGGTCACCACCGTCCATCAACTAGGGGCGCAATGCCTTCCACCATCGGAAGGACTTTGACCCTAATGGGTATCGATCCCGGGGGCAATGGTCGCGCCTTACCAGTAGTGCCAAACCCTATGTATGTATGCGTGCGCGTGTATGTGTGTGTATGTCTGTGTGTGTATGTCTGTGTGTATATGTGTATATATGTGTGTGTATGTGTGTATGTGGTGGGCGGGGAGGGTTGTTGCGGCGAGGGAGCTTCCGCTACCACCACCACCACCACCAGCAGCAACTATATCACTCGAGATATCCCCATCACTAATTCTTGGAAGTAGACACACATGCGCGCATGATCGATCCGCAGTGACGACGCCGCGTCGTGCGGCGATACGACGAGTGTATCCCGCTCGGCAAGTGGCATTCCTACATGCGGCCTGCTGTGACATGACGTGACGTCACATGACGTGGGGCATGACGCCAAGTCTGCTAGGCAAGGCCCCCCCTACAGCTGTGGCAGTGCGGAACACCACACGCAACAAACCGACAATGACCGCAGCGTCATGACCCCTGTTTGGGAATAGATCGGGCGGTCACATCGGAAGAGCCCACGTACAGCCAACTACTCGCTCTTGTTTTTGCTTCTTCGCACAAAGCTGCACGCTACCTCTCCCGCTCTCATGCTTTTCGATGCTGGTCCCCCCGCTCATCATCAGGGACGATGCTACTCCTGCGGAAAAACGTTCGTCAGTTCGACCGACCCAAACGGACCCGTGGGTCGGTTCGCTCCATGCAGTGCGCCCCTGTCGCCGAAACGGGCGAAACTTCAAATGTATAAAAGAAACGCTCGCTAGAAAAAAGGTGTACCCCTCGAAGGTTTTAAAGCATAACCTCGTCCGAAACTTAACTTACGCAACCTGCCTCACAGCTCCAACGCATCTTCACGCTCATGCTCCAGCTGCTGCTGCTGCTGCTGCTGCTCCAGCTGCTGCTGCTGCTTTTCAGTCCTGCCAACCTCGCAAAAGGGCGCCATCTCTATTATATTTCAGCCGCCAGGGCCCACAGCGGCAGCGGCAGTGGCCACGGCGGCGACGCAGCCGCCGCCGCCGCCGCCGCCATACACACCACGGCGACCACACATCTATCTCGTACATATGCTGCGCATGTATGTATGTCTGTATGTGTCTCCTGTAGGTGCCCGGTCTCTCACCGCACATTTCCACCACACCACACAAACACACACCCGGCACGACACCCAAGGGCCGCTACCCTACCGGGTATAAATAGCTACTAAAAGAGCAAGAACGCCAACTAAAAGCCCCTTCGCCTCCCTTCCCTTCCTCCCCTGAGGGGATTACATCCTGGGACTACATCCTGGGACTACATCCCGCCTGCGAAGTCCACGTCAAAGATGTTCTTGCCAGCCCCCCCCGGGTCTCCCGCCATAGGGCCCAGGGGGGCCCCCGTGTTGAAGATGTTGGGGTTAGTCTCGACCCGACCGAGCCGTGTGTGTATTTTGCCCATCTTACCCTGAGGACGATTGATAGCGGGGGGGGATGGCATGGGGGAGGGGAAGGGGAAAATGGTTGGGCGCCTGCGATATAGGAAGGAATGAAAAAGCTGCATACAAGCTGCTGCTTAAAACCACCACACCTGTGGTATACTTACCCTGCAATGGCGAAAAAGCGTGATGCTGCAAGGCCGCAACGCCTTCCCTGTCCAAACTTTTACTTCCCGTAAAAGCAACGGCACCTGTTGCCGGACGTGTAGTAGAGTGACACGGGAGGGGGTCCACAGGCTTTCGGCCTGGCGGGCGTAACTGCAGCCAAGGTTTGACTTGGCCCCCCCACCCCCCCATCCCCCCCCCTCCACAGACACCTACCTGCAGCGCCTCAATCTTGCCCGTCAGCCGGGTGATGGTGGCCTGGACCTGCTCCACCAACTGAAGGGTGCTGGCGGAGAGATCCGCGGTGGGGTCTGCCGCGGTACCGCCGCCGTCGCCGGGGGAGGTGGCGGCGCCGCCAGCGCCAGCAACACCCCCGCCAGCCGATGCCCCGCCGGCGCCACCGCCGGCGTTCTATCGTATGTGCATGTGCGGGAGTGTTTGAACCAATCTCAAAATCGGAATCGACAAAATCAGCGACACATACATACATACATACGTACAGACGTACATACATACATACACACACAGAGGAAACATCTCCCATACACACACACGGAACACATCCCAAAGGGTGTGCTCGAAAGCCAAAGCCAAACTCGGTAACGTTGCCACTAACCCCAAGATAACACTAATGAAGCATGACTGATGACGGATCAGGGGCAAACAAAAGGGGTTTGCAGTTAAACGGGCAGCGGTGGGTGCAGCGGGTATATAGTGGTTGCACGGCAGCGGATTCACGACACCCGCAAGGACCACTACCAGGGGGCAACCCGTCATACCCCCTAACCCCTCTACCTGCGCTCCGAAAGATGGTGGCGGAAGGGCAGTCCGGTCGGCCCCGGCCTCAAAGCCGACAGGAATACCCGCCAATAAGGGGGAGAAGGGTCCTGTCGCCGCAGCAAGGCCAATGCCGCCAACGGCGGCGGCGGCGCCGCCGCCGCCAACACCCGCGGCGGCGCCGCCGCCGGGCGGTCCTCCAGGCGGCGGATTGCCGCCGAAGCCGCCGGGTCCGCTGCCGCCGCCGCCGCTACCTCCCCCGATCTGTACGGCCGCCTGCTCCTCTGCCTCCGCTGCCGCTGGATTGAGCTTCTTCAAATGGCGGGGTGCCGGATACGCATGGGCCTCACGCGCCACCTTGCCAGCCGTTTGCATGTCATTGAGCCGCTTGACGGCATGTGCTCGGACCTGGCAGAACGTCAGACATACAGACAGATAGACAGACATCCAATTGCGGATCCAGGATGTAGGCAGTTTTGCAGTCAACTAAACTTTTGCAACATTTGTTGGCAGCTGGACAGGGGGATGAAATGCAAGCCGGCGAGATGAAGAGGAGAGCACACTTTTACCCAAAGTCATTTAGTTTGTACCTAAAACGCTGTCGGCGGCACCGCACCTCACCACTCTTATTTTCCTTTCTCCTCCGGACGTGCTGCTTGGTCCGTAAACTCCTACCTAGATATCGCCACGCAAATGAACAGCTAACGCTGCCGCCCCACATCAGGCACTACCCCTTCTTCCGTCGCCCGGCCGGTCTTCCTTTCCTTTACTTGCCATCACATCCATCCCTTCATCCATCCACCCTTCCTTAAGTCCACCCATACATATGTTCAAGCAGCACTGGTAATGCACACACCGATGCCCCCGGAGGTTCCGGGATCGAGACCGGTTAAGGTCGGCGGTTTTTGTATTTTACATCAGAATCAGGATCAAAAACGGCACAATGTTATCCACAGATTTTGTATCATCATAACATGGTTCAGACCTAGCTTTTTTTAAAGAAATTATGATAATTTCAGGATTTATTTGTTTCATAAGATTATTAAATATTTAGTTGAGGCAAATTTTAGGCTTCATCAGCTCATACATTTTCTTTCCTACCAAAAAATGCTATATATCCAAATAAAAATCCGTCCGATGGTGGAAGGTAAGTGAGCCCCTAGTCGATGGACGGTGGTGGCCTGGGATAAAGTAGACCTACGAGCTGACCAGGAATGGAGTTGAGCCATCGTTGATCTGGTTGAATCCGTTGGATGCTGGTGGTGGGTCCTGAACCTGAGCGATCCACTGATAAGTTGGCTAGGGTGACTAGATGAGGGTGCCCCGAAACACTGGGAAAGGCAGGGTTTCGCAGGGTAGCGGCCACGGGTGAAGATGTAACCCCCCTGTCCCACACATCTTACATTCCCCCCATTCCCCTCAACCCATACCCCTCTCACTCCTCACCTTCTCCGCCGAGTCCGGGAAGTCCTTCATGGCTGCCACCAGGTCATGCGCCATCAGCAGTGTGAGGTCGCAGTGGCACAGCGCCACGCACTGAGCGGTGCGGCGGGCGGTGGCCAGCAGAGCGAGCTCACCGAAAAAACCGCCTTTGTGCAGAATAGCCAACATCTCGCCGTTGTCGTTGTGTACGGCTACGTGGCCCTGGACTCCGACGAAGGGAACAAAGGGAGCTGGTGTTGGTTGCGGATGGGTCGGAATTTTTTTAAAAGAAGCGATGAGAGGACATAACTTTAGATGCGAAGAAGGGACACACGCTTTCCAAGTGTGCCGAGTTCTAAACACGCAACATCATATCTTTCAAATTACCAATGCCAGCCGCCGCCATCGCCACCAAAATCACCATCATCGTCGCGATCGCCGTACTATTGTGTACGACATGTAAATCCCCACACGTAATCCTCACTCACCTTGGTTATGAAGTACATCTCGTGACCCACATCACCGATTCGGAAAATGACTTCCGACGGCAGAAACACCGCCAGTCGCAACCGAATCACCAGCTGCGCGATGAAGGCCGGTTCGCACTCCTTGAACAACGGCACCTTGGTCACCAAGTCCTTGTACATCCAAATGGCAATGTCCTGTACGGCGGTACGACAATACAGGGGCTCAACTACAGCATGTTGAGCGCTATGGGTATGCGAAGCGGTTGGGGTAAGCGAAGCGGGGATGTCTACGTGCTGATGAGGAGGCATGGATGGGTGGAACGGGGCCCTGGTACGCACGTCGATCAGAAGTGCGCCAACAGGACGAGGCTCACTCCAATAATTGGTCCAAAACAGGTTCAGAGAACGGCGATCAGGAACCCGGAATGGCACATCGGAGGGCCGGCCCTAAGCCCCTAAACGCTGGCTCCCCCCTCCCCCCGCGCGCACCTGGAACATGGACGACGGCAGCTGCGATATGAGCGCCATCCCGTCAGGTCCCGGATGCGAGTACGTGGTCAGGTAGTCAAAGTACTGGTCGATGCGACCGGCAATGTCGCGCGGGGCTCCCAAGTACCTGCCGTGGGTATTATTACCGAGGAGAGGAGAGGGAGCCCCCATATCAGCCTCCAACACCACCATCATAATGACAATCAGCATCAGCAGCATCAGCAGCATCAGCAGTAGCGGCAGCAGTAGCGCATTACGCAGCCCCAGTCAGACGGGACGTCATTATTTCGTGTCGTGGTGTGTGTCTGATTGCGTCGTGTTGCCAGTGGACCTTCAGGCAGGTCCCTCTCCCCCCGGGCGCCGCCGCCTGGGGACGCTCAGAACGCTCCAAAGGGGGAAGTCGTTTTTTGTTCTCACCTGTCATCACCTCCCACCACGGGATGCAGCCGCCCCTGTTACACAACTGCGCTTCTTCTCCAGGCCCCCCTTCGAGAGGCGCTGCGCATGAGACTGCCTCCCGACCCCCTCCACCTCCCGATACATCACACCCACCCGACGCCCTTTGCTGTGTGTGCTGTGTGACATGAGCCCCTTCTCTGTTGCATGGCTCACCTCACGGTGTTGTTGATAATGTCCTTTTTGAACTTGTGCCTTGAAGCGGTTGGGTTCATGTTGTTGACCAACAGCGACATGTGACCCACGACGATGGCGTAAAAGCAGGCGCCGATTACCAGGATGCCCGTACAGTACAGCCGCTCGATGTTATTCTGCAGTACGGCAGTACGGCAGCACGGCAGCGCGGCAGCACGAGAGAGGTAACGTCATGAAGCAAGTGCATGCGTGGCGGAAGGGCAGGGCAACGCAGGAAAAAAGCATCTCAGCAGCGAGAGCAGCAGCAGCAGGACACGGCACGGCACGGCACGGCACGGCACGGCACGGCATCCAAAATGTGTGTGGAGATCTTCGGCCGGTCGATCTGTTGAGTAAGTGATGGGTTTGTGTATTGCTCTGCGAGTAAGTCCTCGACGCCAACCCGCACCTTGGGGCTGATGTCGTTGCCAATCATGAGCAGAAATGATTGGAGGTATGCTTCCAAGTAAAACGTCATAATCTTGGCATTACTCAGCGAGTCGTACGACCAATCCAGGCTGCCGTGAGTCAGACGGTACAGCATGAACCACAGGCACGACACCCAGTGGGCTACCAGTGCCATGAAGAACAGCAGCTTGCCCTGCACGCAAAGGAGGCGCCGACGAGCCTTAGCCAGCCGCACAACCAGCCACACAGCTCAAAACTACAAAGCACGCAAGGGGCCATCGAAGGCCGGAGGTGGGAACGGCGAAAGGCTGATTTCAAGCAAAATTAAATTCCGCACCCGTTTCCTTTCCTCATTTAGTTGGATTTTAAAACAGCTCGATTTCACCCGCCGGCAACCACTCGCCCTAAGCGTCTCTCGCTCAGTGTCAGCCCCCGAGCAGGCGAGCAGTCTTCTCGCTTCACTATCTGCTGTCCCACTGCCCCCATACTGTGCGACCTGCAGCCCCACTCAAATCCACACAGACGACGCACAAGTGCAGTCGCCCACCCCCAGTTCTCCAGTACCCGACATCACCAACGCCTTCCCACCACAGACCGGCCCAGACAATTATACCCCCCCCCACACACACACACGCACTCAACCACAAAGCACAAGCCCTCTAAACCAACTGCATGCGACCCGGCTGCCGGGGCCCGGGCTCAACCCAGGCATACGCAAAGACAGAGAATGAAACCCATCACCCCCAGCCAGCCCCGGCCTGCTCTGCTCTGCCCCCCACCATGCGGACTATGTTTGCGCCCTTCATTCGGTCGAAGTAACGCAGCAGGCGGCCCAGGCGCAGCAGACGTGGCGTGCGCAGGAGCCCCAGCGCGATAAGGCCCTCGTTGGAAATGTTCTTCACAAACCACAGCACGATAACGTCGAAGGGAATGGAGGCGGAGAGATCCACACAGAACCAGGTACTGCCCGGACAGCCAGGGGAAGGGGAACGAGAAAGTGAAGGGAGGAAGGTAAGGGGGGCGGGAGGAGGATTAGGTGGAGGAAAAAAAGCGGCTGCAGTAGAGGGGGTTATGAAGGGAGAGGCGGGTTGGAAGAGGACATGTGCCACAGCAGTCAACATGAGCAATGGTCGGGTCGGGAGAAAGGGAGGGGAGGGGGGGAAGGAAGAGGGAAAGGAGGAAAAATTGGGGAACGGTAGCTGGGTGGTTCGGCCATGGGTGTTCGCGCCAGAAAGGTTGCAATACGCCGTGTTGGACACACGAGGAGGAGGACATTTCGCAGGAGGAGGACATTGACTAGGATAGGCAGAAGGCAAGAGCTTACAGCGGGCGACGGACATAAACTCGCATGCATGAATGGGTGGATGGCCCTTCGTCGCTTTTGATGAAATTGGGCGGCTCAACAGGCCCCTGTACCAAGAAACAAAACCCCAGCTGCCCCTATGTACTGAACGGCTTTTTTCGTGCGGAGGCATCAGATTTTCCGTTCCTTTGGGTTGGTGAGTGGCATACGGCCGTCTATGATGTCATGCCCGCCCGGGGGTTTTATGCTCTAGCAGTCAACAATGAGATGGCCAAAGCTCTGTGAGATAGCTTAGAGCAAGCGGCAGAGCCCTGTCGCGCGCACGTGCGCGGGTGCGATGGGCCAGCAGAATGGGCCAGGGCAGGGACGGGGGCAGGAAATTGGAACAGTAGAATCGGCGGCCATGACAAGGTGTGTCTCCACTTCGCTCCCTCAATGTTGGAAGGACGAAAGACCCTTTGCAGACACATAAAAAGCTGCATATGCTTAGGGACTGTGTTGGGAGAGTGTTTTGCTTAAGACTGCTTGCCAAAGGTTAGGGGAATGGCCTTCCCGGAGCAATTCCCCGCCGTCCATACACGGCCGACTGATTAACTAACTCGCATCACAAACAACGGCCGAATTGTCGTTTCTGGCGGTAACGTGGTTAAAGACAACTTTATTGTCCAGTGTACGCTTACCGTAGGTGGCACAGACATAGGATGTGACATCCACAAATACAAAAGACCCCTCCCAACCTGAGCAACTTACCGTACATAGTGTGCTGCAATTTTACCTCCATCCCGCACCATGTTTGCTGAATGATCGATATAAGCTGTTCGGAAATTCAGGCCAATGTCCAACCAGAAGCAGGCGTCCACTATACGCTCCATGGCATAATCGCCGCGCCATCCTATGGAACCGAAGCCCACCTCAAACGGCACAATGAGTGCTGTCCATACGACTAGTGTTAGAACAAAGAAATCCCAGTATCGCCGTTTGCGGGTTTCCGGCATCAAAATTGGTAGGCGCTTGTTGAGGACGTGGACCCAATAGCGTGGGTTCAAGCGCATTGTGAAGCGCTTCCATCGGCGCTTTCCCCGATTGCGTGAGCTCGAGTCTGCGGCAGGCGCGGTCACGCCAAGGTCCTCAGCATGTGCCTCCGCACAGGTCCCAGACCTAACCCGGCTCTTGCAAAGACTTACTTAGCCATGTTGACGTATTAGTTCGAGTATTCCTTACAGATTTATATGAGTTTCGTGCGGAGGGGTTGCTTGTGCTGCCTAGGCGCTTCACCAGCGGCTCGTCGGTAGTGTCTGCAAACTTGACCGACTTGCCCCGAAGGACCATGGACTTGTCGCTTATGGCATCCATATTGCAGCCTCGTATCAAGAAAGATCAAGTGCCACTCGGCAGAACACTAGGAACGACATCGTTACAATATCTGTGAGTGCGCCGGTTATCACGGCGCCAAGAAGCTCACGATGAAGGACCTTTCTAAACTTTAATTTCTGCGCATCATCGTTGCATAGCACTAGATAGCGAACGGCTCGGCACGGCGTACGGCAGCAAAAAGTAAATGTCATTTCCCGTGCGTAAAAGTATACAAAGCTTACGCAAAACGATATGATTCTGCGGTCGGCAGCTATTGCATTGCTCACAAATGGAGAAACCGGGCCCTTGTCGTCCTTGCCCACCCCTGGGCTTTAATGGACACAAGACCCGTTTCCGTAGCTAGACCCTGTCCTTATGCACATAGCATTTGAGTTTGTTGCAATGTCCTTCAAAACACTGCCAACAGCGACGTCGCTGTTGTTCACGACGTCCCTGCTGCCCGTAGTGAAGTTACGTCTTCTGGGCAAACATACATTTTACAGAATTGGTATCATAAACGGAAGACGGAGACTTATGTAACTTACAGTTATGATTTAACCGCATAGTTAACAGAGCCATTCCCGAACCCTCCAGGTTGCACTTCAAGCGAAGAGCACCGTGCACAAGTAACCCGTAACAGTTGTAACAGTTCCCCCTGCCGCGTGGCTGAGGGAACTTGTCATGGAGCCGGGGGTTCAAAACCAGGATAACAGCAACCTACAGAACCTTGTGTCGTGCATGCGGGCCCGCCCTTGAGTAATACTGAGCATGTCACCTTGTCCGACTACATCATGCACTAGACGCCCAACCGGGTGCCATGACCGGCTGACGCATCAGGCGTTATAGTCATGCGCGCGAATGAAAATCACCGTCAGTCGAACCAAATCAACGGAACCAGGTGGAAGATATAGGGAAACTGTCAAATACGCAACCTCCTCGATTGTTCATGAATTGCCCGTTGCCGTCGTAGGAATGACGACTGTACTTGCCGTCGACGGGGCGGCACCAGCTTCCATGTCCTCTCCCTCCCCAGCAGTCTTCTTCATGCCTAATCTCTCTTCCAAGGCCTTCGCACCGCGCTCCCTGCAAGGTGCAAGTCGAAGGGACACGAAGGTTATTTGCCGCCAAGATGCCAACCGGTAACAGTGGACCTCAATCAAGCACCCTCCCAGATGAAGTAAACCTGGTCTTAAGAGTCTGCTGGCGGTTCCTTCCGTCGTCCGGTTCCGGTGTGAAAACCCTAAAACCCTAAAACCACGCTTGCCAAACAGTCTCCATTCCCGTACATAGTAGCCACGACACCAGGTACGGCAATAGCGAGGACCAACGGTCGCCCGGTCAGGCCTTACCGCCGAGGACCGGGCCCCCGCTAACCCCGATATGGCACTGAAGCGTGAGGTCGGCCCGTGACAGCATGCCCATGTCATGTCATGTCATGCCACACAAACAATGCAAATGATGGTACGGCAAAGCGGGCACGGCAGAGCCCACACCTGCGCCGGTTCGCGTCGGCGTTGTCTGCGGGCAGGGCCAACGTGTACTGTGCGGCCTTAGCGAAAGGCGCCTTGGTCTCGGCGGGTGGATGCCGCAGCCGGAAAATGGTTGCGAACACATAGCCAAATGGGTCAATGACCGGCGCCAGGAAAGCCGGGAAAAAGCCGGAAAACTTGAAGTCATCTGAGGAATCTCCCCAGTGCTGCGAGTCAGGTTGCTGCTGGAAGAAGCGAAGGTACAGCCAGGCGTTGTAGGTGCCCAATACCAAAAAAGGAATGTCCGAGAGCTGCTTGAAGGCAACCGCCGCGCCAACCGTTACGGTCAAGAAGAGCAGCGGCAGGTACTGTGGAGAATCAGGGGACGCGGCGTGCCCGGAGGTGAGTCATTTGCTCGATGGCCATAGCAACGGCAATGGTATGGTATGACAGGTTGAAGTGAGCGACGATACTTCAACAATGGCAAGACAGCAAAGGTGCCCCTGTGTTGGAGGGAGAGGAGATAATACCAGCATACCCACCTTGAAGGTGAACTTGACAAACCCGAACAACTTGGCTTCGTGCTCCGGCATCACTTGTTTCACAGCCACTACCAGCCCGGCCAAAATGCCATGGAAGCCCGTGAACTTAATGTACCTGCATATCCATATGCACTACCGGGGGTTACTTACCAACGACACCCCCTCACCACATGAGCTTTGGGGAAAGGAGAAGAAGGACACCCTGAATTCCCACGCAAGCTTACAGAATATCACCGGTGTCCTGGCCGATGGCGAAAATGATGTAGACCCCAGCCAATACGCAAAGGCTGACAGAGAAGTCAACGACGAACAGGAACTTCAAGAACTCCTTTGAGCCATAGACGGGCTCAACCAGTCGCGTCAGCAACAAGACTGCAATGACTTCCAAGCCCAGCTGCAAGCACGATCGGTGCAATGGCTCTTAGTCCTTAGTCCAGTCCATCCGTATAGTCGAACGCACAACCGTACCTTAATAGGATTGGTTGTTAGGAGCCCCGCCGTAAACAAGTTCCAAACATAGGGAAGAGTCCTGGCCGGATTCAAGCATGCCACAACACAGGTAAGCAAATGACCTGACATATTTTTAACATGTTTCCTTTAACATCCACTGCTAACCTTCCAGGAATTAGGGCTACATATTCCACAGTTTGGGGAAGAAAGTAAGCGAGGAAGTAAAGACCAACCAAAAGGACTGCGATCACTTTAGAAAGCCGCGTTATTTTTAAATCCATTATTGCAGGAACGTAGGCTGTAGTGATCAGGAGGGTGGGAATTGCAACTGCACAGCCGGACCAAGCTGAATGTTGCGGGCCTGTAGCCCTAAGGGCTCCAACCTGTCTTATCAGTAAGATCTAAACAAGCTATACATTTTCATTCTGCATCGGGTAGTATGAGCAGTCAAGTGTAGAGGCAACTGTAACCGTACGCGTGCCGTACTAGCAGTGAAACGCTTAGATAGCCATTGCGACCTAACGATGATAAATGCAGAACGACGGCGCTCGTAGTGCGTTCTGGAGCTCACTGCTCGTCGTTATGGCCTGCTGGCTTTGATCCCCCTTTCCGCTGTCTGACTGTCTCTGTCCAGTGAACCCTTGTGAACCAGTGGATTTTGCACCGTTGCGGCCAATGTGATCCCACAAAACCTTTGAAGCTTAGAAGCGGCAAGTACTTGCGTCCCGAGCCGTAACCAGTTGAAAGTACCACACAGTTAGTGTACGACACCGATGGAATCTTGACACCCTACCAACTCACAGCGATAGAAAGCTCCAGAGGCCCCAGCTGCGCCCGTCTAGATCGATCGGAAGGTCTGGATAGACTTCTTCTGACAAGCGAGGCTCCTGCACCAAGTACTCCGCGGGTCAGTACGAAACTCAGTGGTCCAAACAGAGTTATGCATATCCCCTGTAAGATTCTTGAATTCTTAAAAATCATGGGCACCGATGATACAGCTTTGAAGCTCTCTGCAGGACCTGGGGGTTGCAGAGCTATACACATGAATACGACTGACTACATGTGCACATTCAAACTGCAAGCTCCTAGCCCAGTTCAATTCTCTTCATTTCCCTTGGCTTCAGATAGGCTCTGTCAGAATTAGCGCCCGCTCGGTTTTGCAGTACTTTCCGACCACCCTGAAGCTGATCTGCGGGCATTACTCCTGATAGCCCGCCCTCCACCACAAACCAGAGTCACCACCATGTCGGCTAAGCTCACTACAACACACGCATCAAACGGGCAGAGACGATGTGTGATCTGTGTGGTCTGTTGCCCATTGCAAAGCCAGTCACCCAAATCTCAGTACAGACGACGTCTGGATTGCTCGACAGCGAAGAAGCACCACCTGCTCAGCTAACACAGCAACACATCGGAACTCCCTCTCTCTGAGCCGGTCAACTTGGCAACTCCTCCCAGCGCCGCTCAGGTTTTTGCGACTGCGCGATGGGGCTGTCTGATAATCTGCTCGACATTGTTGGCGACTCTCAAAAAGCTTCAGCCGCACGCGCATACGCCTCAACACGCCCTCCTCAAAGCCGCCACGAAATGCGCCAAAGACCGCTTGAGAAAAACACCCCTTATGAATCCTTATGCTGCTTATCCTCCTTAATTTTCCGGACCTCCCACAGCCTTCCAAAATGCATCTCAGTCGAGCCCTTAAAAAAACGTATTGGAAAAAAAATGTCGGAACCAGGTACAGGCGCGTTCCCAGCCAGGATCGATCCCGGGTTCAAGGCCGTCAGGTCGCAGGTGCCAAGCGCTCTCAGCTTGATAACTGCTGCAGGAACTCATCCGCGGTCATTGGCTTGGAGAACATGGGGAACGTGAAGTTCAGAGCCGCATCGTGCTGCTCCTGGCTGTGGGGGCACGACGCAATGCAGAGCGAAGGGTGAAGCCAAGGCAGAGCCGCGCGCACGTTCACACCAGCGCAACTGACGATGCAGTGACCATACCGGTAGTGACATGCAGAACCAAGTCGATGCCCAACGTGACAACAAGGCCCATACCCTGCGCTCAACAACTCCTTCGAGTACACCAGTACATGCAATCTCACACCCAATACACAATAACGCTGCCCATACCCCGAACACAACCCCTCCGCACCCATACCCGGAAAATGAGCACTGCACATTCCCCAGCTCTCCTGCCCCCCTGACTGATACTCCCCTCCTGCCCCCCTGACTGATACTCCCCTCCTGCCCCCCTGACTGATACTCCCCTCCTGCCCCCCTGACTGATACTCCCCTCCTGCCCCCGACCCTACCTGGTGGCGGCGCAGCAGTCCGTGAGCGTGATGACGTTGTAGCCCCGCTCATAGGCGGACCGCATGGTGGACTCCACGCAGCAATTGGTGAGGAAGCCGCTTAGGGCTACGTTGCGGACGCCCCGCTGGCGCAGGATGAAGTCCTAAACAGGACCATCAGGGAGTCCCAGGGAGAAAGGAGAAGAATAAAAATGCCGACAAAATTAGCAGGTGCAGGAAAGGAAAGGAAAGCTCCGGTTGGGTCGGGGCAGGGATGCAGCAACCAATCCCAGAATAAAGAACTATCACCCAGAGAGAGAGACACACACACAGACAAGCTCCGTTCTGTTCAGCGCGGATATTATATATATCCTGCAGCAGTGTAAGGCCCTTGGCAGCCCCGGTTTCGCCTCGTCATGTCCTATCCGGCACCCCGAACGCAACCGTACAGCAAGCCATGAAGGCTATAGGACATAAATATATATATCCACACACAACGGGACTGGTCTATGTCCCGGCGGACGAGGTGGACCAGCTTCGTTGAGTTCACCGCCCCGCCTCCTGGCTTACCAGGTTGGTGGACGCGAAGCCGCACAGGCCCCGCTTGCCCTCCACCACCACATCCCCCGGCTGCGGCTTCATAGCGTCGCAGATGGCACCGCCCCACTCAGACGCCTTGAAGGCCCCACCGGCCTTGACGCTGCAGATGGCACCGTGAGGTCGGGCAGGTGCACATCCAGGTAGCGAGAGGTAAGAACCGTCGTGAAGTACCTTCGTTGCTTGGCAGATTGCTGTATGCACGCATGCACGTATGCACGTATGTATGTATGTATGTATGTATGTATGTATGTATGTATGTATGTATGTATGTATGTATGTATGTATGTATGTATGTATGTATGTATGTATGTATGTATGTATGCATGTATGCATGCACGCATGCATGCATGTACGTATGCATGCATGTACGTATGTATGTATGTGGGAAGCCGTAATCGTGTCAATGTCCGGGATGGGCTAATCGCCTGTCTAGGCGGGGCTTAGAGGGGCTCAAGGCGGTTGGAGCCCCTGTGGTGAAGTAACACAGAAGTGGTTATGTACGGCGGTACGGAAGTCTGGATGAACCCGAGCATCCACGGGAAGACTTTCTGCGTGGCACATTCACGTTACAGAACAGTGACATGAAAAGTTTTCGACTACGGAGGAGACGAGCGAGCCTGAAGCCCTGCAAAGGGTAGAGGCCGAGGTTATTACCCTCAGATGTGCACTAGTGCGTCCCGCCGCCTGGCTGGGTTTGTTTTGGCTGGCTTACTAGCGTGCGTGTGTGTGTGTGTATGTGTGTGCGTGTGCTGGGCATGCCGGGCTGTGCGTACAGCTTGCTGTCTTAATGGCTGCGGCTGTTACTGCTACTCCTCCTGAGACCACAGCGCTGTCGTCGCTGCTGCGGCAGGTCTTAACCCCCATCCCCCCCCCCCGAACGGCAACGCCCCCCCAAACACCCATGTACGATCCAGCCCCCAGTACATACTGGGCGAGTGTCTTGTGTGGGTCAGATTCCCCTTGCTGCCTACTTTGCGAGAATGCCGTACGGTGATGGAGACAGCTCCCGATAGTCATCCGAAACTGTTGTCGCGCGTTACGTCGTTGGCCAGATAGGATGCAAGTTCATAAGGTTCCGTCCGGTCGGGTTGCGTTCAGCCCGATTGCAAAGAGTTGGCGGGAGGAGCCGCCGCAAGTCCATGTTTAGCCATAACACGGCCATTCGCAGGTTGGTCAGGCATGTGAGGTATCGCACCACCAGGGGGAGGGTGTATGGGACAGAGGAATGAATTGATGCGGGAGAAGAAGTTTAGTGTTGGGCAGTTTAAGCCTCTTGGGCAGTTTGAGCCTCATTGCAGTTAACCGAGCGGCATGCAAAGTCGCGTTTCCTGTCCTTAGGGTAAGCGGATGGGTAAGCAGAGAGGAACTTACAGGTGATTGGCGCATGGATAATTGTAAAGCCCTTCTTACGAGCTTCCTCAGTCAGCTTTGCGGTCTTCTCCAACATGTTTGTGCTGTGACAAAGCAAGGAAGCTCCGGCATGAATCAAGCACGACCCCGAAATGTCAACGCAACGATTTTGACAAGGCCAATACTTGTTCAATATATTTGCAATCCACACCTTTCCATAACACCCTTGACTGCATCATGAAGCTTTCCGCCAGGGGTCGCAAACCTGCAACACCGGAAGACGCTACAGGCTCTGCAGGTAGACAAGACCAGCAGCCAAAACCTTACTCGTTCTGAAACTCAATACAGACAATAGCACTCGCGGCTGGGTCGAACGCCATTTGATTCCTAAACGATGCGAGGTGTTGCAGCGGCGCCCCTTGCCTTGACCTAGCGCAGTCCAATAAGTTAAGTCACGTGGCAATCTTCATACTTCAATAAAATTACGCTTTGTCCATGCCGTAGAACCTACGTTGCAGTCAATGTACGGTCGTTGATCGAGCTTCCGAGCTTCTGCGCTCCACGTCTGACAGCCGTACAATCAAAAATGCTGTTCCATACACAGAAGCAGCATATTTCAGCAGACCCTCCGTTCCATAGCTTTTGCATTCGTGTGAAAGGAACTCAGTGACGGGACTGGACCCGGAATAGCAGCGAAAGGCGCTGCAGCAAGGACAGCCTAAAGCGTGAGCCTTTCTTGTGTCTCTGCCTGCGCACGCCTGGAAGGATGCCTTGCGAGCGAGAAAGCAATACCACGTGCGAACGAAACCAGCCCTGGGTGTGAAGACGACGAGGGCTGGCGGAAACTTGTGAATCATTATCATCTACATGGCCCTGGCATGTAAAATGATCGTGACAAGTTCACTCAGCTCATAATATATGCACGCAGATAAACGGCCCCAGAATCCCCAAATATGATAAGGCGTGGCACACGCCCAAAAATGGAGAGGTACAGCATGGAAATGCGTTGGAATCGAGTCCAGACTTTGTCCAATTGCATGTCCCAGTCCATGGGGGGTGGGGGTTGTGTGGGGGTTGTTCCACACAGCTGTAAAGGGCAAATTGAGGACCGTAGCCATGTGCACCACCTTCGTGTCATGAATCATTTGTACTTGGTGCAAACTTGCCCCGAAACATTATGCCGAAACTACTATCAAGGTGCGCTTGGTCTTGGCAAAATTCGAGGTAGATGGCAAGAACGTTTCCCTCACAGAAAGGTTTCCTTTTTCAGCTGCGCCTTGCGTGGCATTATTGTGCGTATTATGTACGGCACGGCGAAGGTACGGGCACGGTATTTACCGTCTTATTCTGCATGATTTTTTATACGGGTCTCTTTCACCACTAGCCCAATTCTTATCCTTCCTGACGCTTTCTCCTAAACGCGGCCCACGGGTTCCTTGTAAAGTATACATCCGAATAGCAAAAGAGCTGACAGCGACACGTCAGGTCCCCACTCTCGGCGGATAGAGGGTATGGGCGGGCACCGAACGACTGGTTGCGAGGAAATCGCACGCACGCACGCACGCAGGGCACTGTTGTGCGACACACACATCAAACGCGCACGCACTTGACAAGGTGGTCATCTTGTGCGGAAATAGAATAAGAAAGAGAGAGAAAGAGAGAGAGAGAGAGAGAGAGAGAGAGAGAGTCCAAATCCACCCCCATGCCGATGGACGGATGGACCGACCCGGATATAGCGACACACCTGCTCGCCGACCGACCAGGAGAGTGGAGGTTCAACGTTGATGCCGCCACTGATACGGCAGATTTCACAGGAAGTCGGCACGCATGGTCCACGATGAGAAGGATGAGGGCGCCCCGGGACATCGGGGAAGGTGGTAGCTGGTAGGGGATCTGCCAGCATGCTGGCCACACACAGCAGGTGAAGCTATTATACCCGACCCTACTTCACACAACCATTCAGGTAGCCCTCCTAAGGGGCAAGCCCGGAAGAGTTCCAGGAAGCCAGCAGTGCTCAGGGTGTCTCAAGGGGTGACCCAGCGGTAGCGATATGAGAGAGCGCAATCTGGATCCTTTCTTACCACTTCAGCGGTACCATGTGGTAGACATGGCCCGGTTCATCCGGTTTCACTCTTGCTGCTTGATGTCAGTCCATCCTGCTCTAGAGATGGATACGGACCAGTCAAAGAACAACTCGCTGCATTCACGGTCCACACCGACCATTGGGTGCGTGCGGTTGAAGGCCTCTACGGCACACCAGCGATGATATCTCGCGCAGATGGACGAGCCCGTCATTTCGCAGAATTGAAAATGACCCATCTTGGTTTCGGCGCGAATAGTCGCCAATAGTCGGCGACTGTACCGCACCAACATGACTAAGCACTGTCGTACTTCGCTGTCTGCCAGCCAATTCCGTTTGTAGAAATGCGGCCAATCGGGATCGATCAGTACACCATTGGTTTTCTGATCTAGGGAGCACACGAAATCAGCCCTGGGTGAAAATGACGACAGCAGCTGCGGCAGCTCCCCTGTGAAGTCCACGTCGTACTCGGCGAACCAAATGGGGTGGATGTGGGGCGGAAGATCTCCGGAAAACAGCTCATACCTGTAAGTGCATTACGAATCGGTAGCAGCAGGGTTAGCGGTACACTGTACAACGGCATATCTTGGAAAGGTTGTTAGCATGATGTCGTGATGAAGCGCCGGAGCTTTCAACGCTGCCCTGGCCGATGGAAAGCGGCATGGGTGGGTGTGGGCACACCCAGCTCCCCCAGGCCTGCAGACGCGTGACATCGCCGAGGTGAATGACTGAATGTAGCAGTCGCTCATCTGATGGCTCGACTGGCTTTGCGGAAGCGTAGAGTTAACAGTCCTCGCTGAGGCAGGAAGAAGTCCAACCCAGCGGCAAGCACTAGCGTACATAGACGCGTACTAAAATAATGTAAGACGGCGGCAGCGGAGTCTTGAACTCCGAACACCAAGTAGTCGTGGCACTTAAGTGCCTGGCCACAGCACCAGTGATTTTTTTTTCATTTAGGGGGGGTCTCAATTTATTCCGACCTAAGTAACAAAGTTGCTAGCGTCGCCGTAATGTATTCCTTAAGTATTCCGACAAGTTACAACTCCACTCATAGACCAAGAGGCATGCACTGCGTTGGCGCGTTTTCGTTCATGTGCGCACTCTTCATGCACATGCATTGATAGTTCTGGCACTGTTTGTGAACAAAAAGTAAATCCGACCAAGCAAAGGCCCAAAGCAAAGCTTGGCACTGCGAGCGCTCGGGTTGGGCCCCTCGCCGCATTCGTTGTTGTCGAGCTGATTGGGTGACAGCTTGAGCTTATGCTGATCACAACCGCCATGGAAGGCAGGGGTAATGGCGCCCGTGTCATCGGTCGCCGCTGGCAGCAACACCATTGCCGATGCATTACCGACAACAGCATCGCCGTCCCAAACGCCTTTATCAGGAAAAATTTCAGGCTTATCTTGCTGTTTTGGTGTTTGTTCGGCGTTCAAATCGTTGCCTTTTGCGTGTTTGGCTATGTAAAGACCGGTCATACATTCTGCTATGCCGCGTTGACTCGCGGGCTTGACCTTCTTACGGCCCCTCATATCTATTCTATGATCGATAATACTAAGTTCTGCACACTACGGAGCAATCTGGCAGCAATGGACGTTTTTGGCTGGAGGCCAGGGAACGAGCCGAAACTTGACCAGGTCTGCGGAAACTTTTCGTAATCGGGAGGCCCTTTGCGGAAAGGCTGCGGAAACTGCGGAAAGCTGCGAAAACTATAAAATGAATATGTAACGATGTTTTTTAGCTCTTCTCAGTGTGGCGATAACATGGACAGTCTGAAACCAGCTTGTGGAAGTGCGGTTCCGTCCGGTGGGATCTAGAATCAGGTGGATTCCAATCGTGCTCGAAGGTAGAGCCACCTAAACGTATTACTGGGGGTGGCGGGGGCCAAGCGATCAACTATTGTGTGCCCACACCCTTGACGGTGTTCACCCTGCCCCCTTCAAGCAGCCCGCCTCTCTTTGAACCCTGAGACCCCAGGCCTGAGCAGCCCTATTGTGTACCACCCCCATAGTGTTGTTGGCTGACGGATTGCTCTGGGATGCTCAGAAATTGCCACTCGTATGTTACATGGGGTAAGGGCCCGGGAAGCCCTGAAACACTGAATAATAATGTCCGTTGCGGAGCAGTGACATGTCTGCATGCCTACTCCACATACCCGTCCGGCATGTCTGCATGCCTCACGGACAAGTCTATGCTGACTGTGCATTAATCCAGTAATCGTCCAAACAATATGAATTCAAAATAAAAAAATCAAAAGGAATAAGAAAGGCGAGAGGGCTAAAGTATCTAGATGCGGGCGTGCATCTAAAAATGGCACCGCACAACGATAACTGCAGCGATGTGGCTATGTTCAACTTCAACCACGTTTACGGACATTGTGGAATCAATTATCAAAAACCCTTCTTCTGAGCAGAAACACAGTCAATCTCTATGACTTCGGCAGCCCCCAGGTCGGGGCCAGTGGTTGTTGACATTTGACTTAATCTAATAACTCCGTAGTGTATAACGCAGTCTTTAAATGGCAAACGCATGCCTGGAATCTGTTTTTGACTTTCCGCCGTACAGCAAACGCGGAAATGCGGATTCTCTTTCCGCATTTCCGCCAATCTGGGCTTCGCTGCGGAAAGCGTGACGAAACCTATTTACGCAGGTTTCCGTTTCCGCAGGTTTCCGTTTCGGCTCGTTCCCTGGCTGGAGGAATGAAAATGTACGGATCGGCCTCAATTCATTCCTTTTTTCCATTCCTTAAAAGGAATATATTACTTAAAAAAAACACTGCACAGCACCCCACCCGGGTAGCTTACATCTCGGCCTACCTGCCGGAGATTCCCTACCACGGTCCTGCCGTACTAGGATAATGTCGGTGGGGCCCCGCGGGGCCCTAGCCCGTTAGGTTCGCTACGAACAACCGCCATGTTCGTGACATGTTACGCTACTCGTAACATGTACGAAACTCGAGTCGAATCGTTAATGAATTAACAGTTATTGTTAACAGTAATCGTTCAAATATAGTAATCGTTGAAATATTCTAAGGGAAATGTAGCTTGCTACATGAATGAGCTGCAGTGAGCACCTCAAAAACAAGCGGCTAGCTGCAGTAACGATAGCAGTATCGGTACATGATGCAGGACAACGATGCTCAAGCTGCTGGCCCAAACTCACAGGCTGGGTGAACGCGTATCCATTGAGCACGGCCCACCAAAAGAGCAAAACTTTGGATCTCCAAGTCATCGCGCCCAGCACACTTGCAGCAGCAAGCACATATTGCAATAGCCCAATCCCTCCAGCCTATCCCAATATCCCAAGTACTGCTCCGGGGAGTGCCGACGAGCGGCGCTGAGGCCGCACCCCGCCATGTTAAGGACTGCTTTTTGTAACAGCCAACCGA